AAAAAAAAAAAAAAAAAAAAAAAAAAAAAAAAAAAAAAAAAAAAAAAAAAAAAAAATTGAGGGACTAAAACGAAAAGTATTTACAAATCTGAGGACCAATATGCAAACAGCGAAAAATATCCAAAATAGGATGAAAATTAGACCCGGTAATATGTAAAGGCGTGAAGCCGATAAGGCGGACGGAGCCACTCAACCGGGAGCCCAGAAGAACTTACCGGAGAGTGCCACACAGTCACCGGGATGGCGTTCCAGCTCTCCCATTTTCCTTACACCTTCTTCACCGACCATAATTCCCTCACTTTTCACTCTAAAACAACTCTCTGCAAGTCCTCCTCTCGCGTTTTCAAGCTCAATCCTATACCTTATCACTCAAAACCATTCCTCCAAATTACCAATGTGTCGCAGCAGGAATACGCTCCTCAAGAAACCCGGAATCCAAGCCCCTCTGATGATGAAATCTCGAAATTCCCAGATGGGAAATCCGGCTCCTCGTCCAAAACCTCCGTTTGGGTCAATCCCAGTAGCCCCAGAGCTTCGAAGCTTCGGAAGCAATCGTACGAAGCCAGGTATGCTTCTCTCAAGAAAATATCGGAGTCTTTGGACTCTTGCAATCCTTGTGAGGATGATGTTGCTGATGTCTTGAAGAGGATAGATCGTAAAATTTTAGAACAGGACGCTATTGGAGTGCTGAATAACATGTCGAATTCCCAAACTGCGTTGCTTGTGCTTCGGTACTTTCAGGATGTGTTGAAATCAAGTAAACAAGCGGTTTTTTATAATGTGACATTGAAGGTGTTTAGGAAATGCAAAGATTTTGAGGGTGCAGAGAAACTGTTCGACGAAATGCTTAAGAGAGGAGTTAAGCCTGATAATGTGACATTTTCTACAATTATTAGTTGTGCTAGGTTGTGTTCATTGCCAAATAAGGCTGTTGAGTGGTTTGAGAAGATGCCAAGTTTTGACTGTAATCCTGATGATATCACCTACTCTGGGATGATTGATGCCTAT